GGGGGCGGGGGAGGCCCGGGGATGGAGCCGGGGAAGCCGACCCCCCTCTCCTCACCCCCCACCCCCATTCCCTCCGGTTCCACGGGAGGAGCGGAAGTGTGGCCCCGCCGAGCCCAGGCAGCCCGGGGTATCGTCCTGTGCGTTCCTGGTTGCAGACTCTTGCCAGCCGCATGCCCGGTGTGGATGAAAGATGTATTATGGAATGAACCCGAGCCATGGAGACGGATTTCTAGAGCAGCAGCAGCAGCAGCAGCAGCCCCAGTCCCCCCAGAGACTCTTGGCCGTGATCCTGTGGTTCCAGCTGGCCCTGTGCTTCGGCCCCGCTCAGCTCACGGGTGGTGAGTGATGACTCCCTGTGCCTGTGGCTGTGGCCGGAGGGCCCAGGACGGCAGGGGAGGGGGAGCCCGACTGGCAGGACGGCCCAGCCACTCCCCCGGCCCCCTATATCCAGACTTCTGGGCACCCCAGAACCTGAGGAGCCCCTGTGTGCCAGCCTCAGAGCACCCTTTTTCAGAACCCCTGGAGTTCCCCCCAAATTCGTGTGGAGCCCCGCACAGCTGCACACACCCACATTCTGCCTGGAGCTTCCCACCAGCTGCCCAGCGGCCTGACTTCTGTTTTCTCTAAAGCAGTGGTTCTCAACCTTCCTCATGCCGCGACCCTTTAATACAGTTCCTCATGTTGTGGTGACCCCCAGTTTCATTGTTACAAATTGAACATTGTGAAAGCATAGTGATTCATCACAAAAACAGTATGTAATTATAGATGTGTTTTCCGAGGGTCTTAGGCGACCCCTGTGAAAGGGTCATTGGACCCCCAAAGGGGTCGTGACCCACAGGTTGAGAATCGCTGCTCTAAAGAAAAGACAATAAGGCTGACCGATTATTCTCATTTTGGGAGAGAGAGGGAGGAAGTGTATTTCTGGATAATGGATGCTTGAGGACCTCTGACCCTTGTCTGTGCCCTCAGCAGACACAGGTCAGGTTTCAGCTGCGAGACCCCCTTTGTGAAGGTGAAGGGTTCGAGAACGTGGCCAGGCTGCCAGGTTTGCTGGAGAGTTAACTTTCTCCTTCCTTGGGAGGTGGGGTGTCTGTGCGCGTCGGGGTTGGGAGGGGATGCAGAGGTGTTCTTCAGATGTGTTTCTGGAGGGTTGCTTGGCGTCTCCAGGCCTGATTTGCAGGAAGTGGACGTTAGCTGAGATAAAGGTGGTGGCGCGGACTCCATAGGCGGACTCCACAGTCAGTTCTGGGGCAGGGGATGCCTTCGGGTTGTGGTGGAGGGAGCGAGATGGAGGTCCTGTCCGGATTTCAGAGCCTAAGAGTCTCTCTGCCCCCATGGCTCCTCACTGTCCATCAATCACTGCTGTCCATCACTGCTGTCCATTCCAGACTGTCTATGAGAGCTCGCTGAGGTGTTCATATGAGAAGGACAGAGAACATGTTGCAGAGCCGAGATACTGTTAATAAACCAAGTATAATCGGTGGAAAACCAGGAATTGATCGATACTACAGAAACCATTTTAGTGCTTTAAAGTATTGCTGTTTTGGAGAATTCCAAGGTGAAGATGGAAAATAAAATATGAATGAAAAGTTAGCAAAGGTGGGGGAGGGGAATGAGCTGGACTTGAACACAGAGGCATCGATAACGCAGGCCTCCCGCTCGGAGATCTGAGATGCTCAGGCTGTAAGGGAACTTCCCATGAAGCACCTGTCAGTCAGCGAGAAGACACTGGCTTGGGATGGAGGCCCTGTTTTGGTTTTTGGTTTCATTGTTTTAGGCAGAGGCAGCTTTTTTGGTGCTCTTATTTTTGTAGAAATACTAGAGGTCCGGTGCACGAATTTGTGCACAGGTGGGGTCCTTTGGCCTGGCCAGCCATTGGGGCTGATGGTGCGGGGGAGGAGGTTGGCTGTGGGAGTGCACTAACCACCAGGAGGCAGCTCCTGCATCAAGTGTCTGCCCCCTGGTGGTCAGTGCACATCCTAGCGACCGGTCGTTCGGTTGTTTGGTCGCTTAGGCTTTTATATATGTAGATCTCTGAGACGGGTTTCCTCTTCACAGAGGGCGGAGTCAAACGGGGTGCCAAGGCGGCACCTGTGTGGCCTGACTGGGCCCTGGTCAGAGCCTCTGTCGGGCCCTGGACATTCTTGGTCGCGCCTCTCGGGTGAGTGGGACTAGGTGGGCAGGCCGTCATTGGGCAGGGCTGGCTCATTCCTTCCCCCTTCTCTCCTCTGGCCTTCTGTCTCACTCTCATCCCCTCAACCCAGGTCCCCAGGATTTCCCATCCTCTCGGTCCTTCCCTCCGTGTAGATGACAGATGCATCAGGGTTCATCTGGGTGCGTTTTGAGGGCTGTTATTGGTGTGAGGCTCTGGCATTGGCTCGGGCATCTCGGACCTCAGTGCCCACACGGCCCCCTCGCCCTCCCATGAGCCACCGCCCAGTTGCACTGCACGTCTTTCCTGTCTCTCTTCCGAGGGGAGATGTCACGCACCCAGACCCAGGGCCTTGAAGAAGGCGCTGGGAGGAGAGGTTGCCTGCGACCTCTGTGTCAGACTTCTCCCTGTTTCACCCTGAACCCCTTCAGGCCACACTGTGGTTTCTGGAAGAACATGGGTTATTTCAGAATTCCTCTGGCCATCAACCGTTTGGGTGGGGGAGGGCGGTGGGGAAGTGCTATGGAGTCCACCTTTCAGAGATGTCTCTCTCAGGAAGGAAACCCCTCTTGGGGGTACCCAGGGGGACAGTCACAGGGAATCCACCGTAATTCTAGACCCGCGCTTCTAAAATTTGAACGTGCGCTGAAGCAGCCTGAGGTGCTGCTGAGAGGCAGGTTCTGGGTCAGTCGCTCTGGGGTGGGGCCTGAGGGTCTACACTTCCGACCAGCTCACAGGCCATGTCCTGGCGACTGGGCCAAGGACCCCACGTTGACCAGTGATGCTTTATTGTATTTTATTTTAAATATATTTTTATTGATTTCCGAGAGGAAGGGAGAGGGACAGACAGACACATCAATGATGAGAGAGACTCATTGATCGGCTGCTTCCTGCACGCCCCCTACGGGGGGTCGAGCCCGAGACCCAGGCACGTGCCCTTGACTGGAATCGAACCTGCGACCCTTCAATCCACAGGCCAGTGCTCTATCCACTGAGCCAAACCGCGTAGGGCGACCAGCGATGCATTAGACCAGCGGTTCTCAACCTGTGGGTCGCGACCCCTTTGGGGGTCGAACGACCCTTTCACAGGGGTCGCCTAAGACCATCAGAAAACACATATGTAATTACATATTGTTCTGGTGATGAGTCACTATGCTTTAATGATGTTCAATTTGTCACAATGAAATTGGGGGTCACCACAACATGAGGAACTGTATTAAAGGGTCGCGGCATGAGGAAGGTTGAGAACCGCTGCGTTAGACGAAGGCATTCCTTAAGGAAGTCTGCCTGCTCTGGACTCTCACCATGGCTCTCAGTGACCCAGATGCGGATGGCCTGTGAGGGACAGGTCTCCCCCAGTGTCTGACCTCTGGGTGATACTCGGCCCTGAACGTCAGCCTTCAGAGAATGCTTTCATTTGATCTACAAAAAGGTGCATATTTAATAGACCCTGTTCTGGCATGTGTGGATTTTCATTTCTGATTGCTTTCAGTGGAAAAGGAACACAACAATAGCAAGGTAGAATCGTCTGAGCTGGGAGAAAAAGCCTGCGTCTAAAACAGATCTGACAGCAAAAGCCTGAACTGGCAAGGAGAGAAATTGAGAAAATGATTAGAAAAAGAAAAGGGGGGGAAAAAGAAACTGAAAGGCTTTGTCCCTGAATCCAGAGTCCATTCAATTCTTTGAGTCGTGGGGGGGCTTTCATGAGCCTGAATTGGCCTCAGGTGATGTCGGGATGGCTCTTTCCAGTTTGTCTTTTGTGACTTGGGGAAAAAGAGGTCCCCATCTGGGGCCGCTAAGACCACATACCCCGGGAGGACTAACAACGGGGTGACAAGGAGACACAGATCCCCACTGATCCCAGAATCTGACGGGGCATGGCCGTGGCTAGCTTCTCTCTTCCTCCACCCAGTCATGCTCCCAGAGGTGATCTATGGGGAGAGAGGCGTTGAGGGCCGCCTGAAATGGTCCACGTGCGAGGAGAGGAGAGAGCTACGAGTTTGCTCTAGAAGTCAGTCCTTGAAGGCGGGCTCACTAGCACACCCAGAAATGATCAGGAACCCAGGCCGAGCTCAGCTCCTTCATAGCCGTGTGGGGCTTTGAAAATCTCTGTTTCCTCATCCATTCAGGGAGGATAATGCCGCCTAATTTGCAGGGTGGATGCGAGGGATGGAAACTATGTGGCTGCTCCATGAATGGAGATAGAAGTAGGGAGGAGGGGCCCACACAACGCTGTACTCATCTGGCCTCTGCTTCATCCATTCAGTATGTACTGAGTGCGGATCCCCACCCTGCTCCCGGCGCAGTTGCATGAAATGTTCTTTTTACCTGTAAGGGCCTTCCTTTGCTCTTTATTTTTCATCCAGTGAACAGATTGCTCTTTGAGACCCAATGCAAACGCCCTGATCTGTTTCCTATTTCCCTGGTCCCCGACTTTTCCCTCACCTGGTGCCCCCCCTGCACTAGGCATAACCCTCCTCCTAGTGTTGCCTCATCCACTGGACCCCAAGCCCACTGAAGGCCAGAGCCTGGACGCCATCATTATTCAAGAGAGCTGATGGTGTGAGCCTGAGATGCTAAGTGTTAGGGAACAATTTGGCCCAATATTTCCTCTTCTTTAAGCGAAAGAATCCCGTGCTCTAGCCAGTTTAGCTCAGTGGATAGAGCAGCGGTTCTCAACCTGTGGGTCGCGAACAATGAAAACACATCCTGCACATCAGATATTTACATGACGATTCCTCACAGTAGCAACATGACAGTGATGAAGTAGCAACGAAAATGATTTTATGGTTGGGGGTCACCACAACATGAGGAACTGTATGAAAGGGTCGCGGCATTAGGAAGGTTGAGAACCACTGCTGGGATAGCGCATCAGCCTGTGGATGGAAAGGTCCCGGGTTCGATTCCGGTCAAGGGCATGTGCCTGGGTTGCGGGCTCGATCCCTGGCCCTGGTCTGGGCTCATGCAGGAAGC